TTAGTTTCTAACATTGGTTAAGATTACAGCTCAACCATTCCTGCCCATTGGCAATGCTGGTTAAGGCTATTGGAAGCTGTAGTCAAACAGCATTTGGAGGGCACTATGTTGGATACCCCTGCTCTAAGAGTATAAGGCCTTTGGACAGGCTGAGGATGATAGTAGTTGAATGACTAAAGGTCATGGACAATGGAGGTATTTATGGAGGAAATGATATTGCATGAAGGAAGGAAGAGCTGCATGATTTTGGCAGGATAGTTCTGGACAGAGGTGAGAGGATCTAAGTGTTCAAAGGGGAAGGCCAGAGAAAAGATTTTCTTGTCAGGAACAAATAACAGTGTTCCTCTGGATATTCTCACAGGGGTATAAGGACTCAGGTGGCCTTTAAGGTATCCGGGACCCTAGTTGTTCAGGGCTTTGTATGAACCTTGAACCTGCCCAGTAGCATTTGGGCAGCCAGTGCAGATGCTTTAGCAGAGATGTCACATACAGTCAGCCCTCCTCACACAAGTAGTAGACCCACTGTATTATACACTAGCTGGATCTTTTGGACCAGGCCGAAGGGCAGCCCCACATGGAGCTCCACACAGAATCTCTCTAGCTATAGGTAAGGCAAAAATTGCTTGGGTTGTTCTGAATGCCAAATCACTTTATTAGGATTTATCTAAAGAAGAAAATGTTTACATGCTATTCCTTATACTCTTGTGCAAGTACTAGCGGAAGGTTACTTGCAGCCCAGTACTAAGTTATATCAGGGTTTGCATTGCAGTTTGAGAAGCATGTTGAATAAGTAGTGCATGAACTACTTTTTATGGGTCATAAAGTCTTTGAAAGAGCATGTGCCAAATCTTGGGCTGGAGCTTGCACAAGTAGAATAACCTTTTTGGATAGGGAATCACTTTTCTAATGCAGTGCTCTCCCAGTAGGTCAGAAACAACCAATTTCTGGTAGCAGAAAGGCACATTTGATCCAAGCTAATATCATAAAATTTAGAAGCCATTTAAAATGGTGTAATAGGCAGCCCCTGTTGGTAATGGAATATATTCTGTGCTATTTTGTTACATTTAATGGAGAAATATGCGTAACATTTATACTAGCATAGTGAACATCATTGGCACACGTTGCATTTATATCCTCATAAACAGCTGCTGGCACTTCTGGTTTGGCACTGTATTGTACAACCGGAAACATAGACAGTATGATTGAAAAGTTCAGTTACCTAGAAGACATTTGTGCCAAGAACAGGAAACAGGCTGTACAGCTGACATAGTTTGCTATGCCATGGGTGGGTGAACTGGGGTGGTTTAAGGAAGCCCTTGGTATGAGAATCTTACATGTTACTTACTGTGGCCATTAAATATGGGGTCGGGAGAATTGAGTTGCAACCCAATTTGTACATGTTTACTTAAAAGTAAGGTTCACTCAGACTTACTCTGATTGCAGTCTCAGGGTGGAATCCTATACATACATACCTGAGGTATTTACTTCTGAATAGACATGCATAGTCTGTTAGTCTCAAATAATCATGTAGTTTGGGAAGTCAATGAGGTGGTTTTTTTGTTTGTTTTGTTTTTGTTTAAGAAAACATCAATCCCTCATTTATTTTTTATTGATTTAAGTTATATCCTGCCTTTCTTTTGGGACAGGATCCAAGGCGGCTCAGAGCTTGAATTTCAACAAACGCAACTAGAAACACAGTATCAGTATAAATACTAACAATTAAATAAGTAACCCTATTAAAAACAACACTAAAACCAATTAAAAGCACAGAAGAAAGAAAAGAATGTACAAAATCCATATACTGCTTCAATTTAAAGCTGATGAATGAATGAATGGTAATACATAAATGTAAAGTCAATAAGCAGAGATTAGGGCTGCATAAGAATACCTGTTGCCTAGCTCTGCTTAAAAGGTAGCTAAAATTTCTAAGTGCAATGTGACATATTCATTTCTTTATGAGAAAATGTTAAGAGGAAAATTTTAGTGCTGTACTTTCATCCTTAGCTCTGGCATGATACCAGGAGGACCCGTCTTTAATTTTAAAAGTGTAGCACACTGAATGCATTTTCTAGCCAGTCTGGTGAAGGCTAGTTTCTCTACAGTATAGTCAAACATAGCCCAACAAGTAGTGCTCTAAAAAGCATTCATACCAAGGCCCTTGGTGGTAATGAGATTTTGTTGAAGTAATTCAGAAATAAGTCCATTGACCAGTTTCTGGCTATGTTGAAGCTAAAATCTTTTATTTTTAAAAGACTCCTAATTTGTTAGCTGCATGCATAATTTTCTTCAGTTTCATAATGTTTATATTATTAACAATGGCCAGCTAACAATAATTCTTTGTACTTTACCCTGTGATAGAAATTTAGAAAATGACTTTGAAAATAACTGTGCATCAAGGAAAAATCTGTCAGTTTTAGTTAAGTTCTTTTTTGTTCTACAGTTAATAACAGTCAAATTCTGTTTTTGGGGCAGAGCCTTTTCAGCATGTGATTTGCTTTTATTCACTTCTAGGGGATACCCCTGAAAGTTCAGTGCTAATCCTGTTAATTGCTTTGAATGGTTCCTAGATGAATAACGTTAGAAAGGGATTGTATGTAAACCCATCTTGGCTAGTGGTGTTAACAATCATTTTTGGTTGTATAGTCAGATGTGGCTTCTTTTAGTCAGGTGGCACCTGTAAGACCTGTGTTTTATTTATATACCGTATTGGCCCGAATATAAGCCACACCTTTAAAATTCAAGGGGGAAAAAAGACAATACCCAAATATAAGTTGCTCCCTTAAAATTCTGCAGGCACTCACACTGTTTAATTTCTCCATAGAAGTAATATCTTTCACTGTCATTTAAGAGCTAAACAGCTTTTATAAAGCTTTCTGTGCTAAGAATTTCTCTTGCATAAGTTGACATATGTTCAGGAATACACTGATACTATTAATTCGATACCATGTTGACAGTCTAGCATGTATGTGTTATAAACATGAGCTGTTTTCTACTTTTCGTATTTTGTTTACAGAAGAATAATGGTTGCATGTAGCATAAGGGCTACTAAGATGCCACCTGATCTGACAGTTGTTCTCCATCATAATTGTTTTGCTACATCAGACTTGGGTTCAGTGTAGTCCAGCGCTCCGTCACCAACAGCAGCCAGTAAGGTGATCCTGGAAAACATACAGGTAGTGATAGAAGAGAGGGCCTATTTGTCCCTAGAATTAGGTAATCAGATAGATGTTGTCTCTGAGTATGGAGGATCTAGTTTTTTTTAATTTCTTTTAAGTTGAAGAGGATTTAAAGAGCTCTTGGCATAAAATGGTTAAAGTCAAATGATAATTTCTTTCCAAATGGGCTGCATAGGAGAAATTCCAACACGCTTGTGCAAGGGTAACATGATCTTCCATGTTGAAAGATCCATTTTTTGCTTTTATGGTTAAACCTATTGCCAGGTCATTCATTTTTAAAATTTCCTGGCCAGTGCATTTATATGTTGAATAAATATCTCATTTTATTGGTCCTGGACCAGTTGTTAATTTCACCGTACTACCCAAGAACCTAAGAGCTCAGAGAGAGGAAATACTTTTCTTCATTCCTTGCACATCATGATTTTACAAGCTTTATTATGTTCCATCTTGGCTTCCATTTTCTGAACTAAAATATTCTAATTTCTTCCGCCTTTCCCTGTATGCAACATGCTTGGCTTATTTTGGTAATTAGCTACTCAGTGATCATCCAGCTGCAGGGAGTATTCAAATGCACGTGCACCATAGATCTATGTAATGACATAATAACACAAATGTATAGTTCTGTTTTCAGCTAATAGGATACCCACCAAATGATGGGAATTTTTGTAGCAATATGGTCATAGCAGGGCACATCTTTTTACAGCTGATTTTTCTCCATTGTTTCTTTTCTTGGCCACTGTTCCCTTCTTTTTGTCCTTTGAGACCTCTGCCTCTATCTGCTGCCTCATTGGCATGCTTGCCTCTGGCTGTTTACGTGCCTTCTCTTTTTCATTCTTTTTCAGCTGTGGCTTATCCTTGTGGCTATTAGTGAGATGCCAGCCTCAAAAAAATAAAATAATAATAATAAAATCATTCAAATGGATGGATCCTTGCTCATTTTTATTGACAGTCATGAAAATAGGTTGGCGTAGTGCAGGGTGCTGAGCCATGGGCCAGATGACGCCCACCAATCTCTGTAAATTGGTTTACAAGGCTTCTTCCTCCACATTGGAGTTCTGAGCTAGAAGTAGATGAACCTCACAGCCCAGTGTTGCAGTGGGGGGAAATTATGCTGTCTTTTCAGAGACCATTCTCGGCAGTTCAGAAGTAGGTCTCTGAAGAACAGAAACCACTACCGTTCTGGTATGTGTGTGTGATGCATGTTCCTTTTCCAGTCTTTGTCTTCCATGAGGTTGTTTTCCAGAATAAATGTTGCAGATTCCCTAAACATTATTTTTCCTTCCCTATCGGCTTGGACATCATATTCCTGTGATAGCAGAGTAGTTTAGGCAAATGCAGGAGAGGTTTGGGACAGTATTGCACAGAGGATCCTTTTTCTAATTATTCCCAATTTTTATTTTGGTGTTTTCACTGCCGTAGCACCAATAGCTACGTGAATGGAAGGCTGCTCTTACAACTTATTTTCCACTCTGCCCTCTGAAAGGTATCTTCAGAGGGTTTGAATAGTATGGGCTGTGTCATGGGGACTATAGGAGGAGAAGGGAATTGTCAAAAACTAGCCAGAGAAACATTGCCTGAGCAGAGCAGAGCACAAAAAGAGTATTAATTGAGGCAGGGACTTGCTGGTAGGCTTTTCTAAACTGCAAGATATTGGGAGAAAGGATGGAAGACAATAATAACTTGCTGGTCACCATTGACTACCTCTTAAACATGGTCTGTGGATATGTCTTGATTTGGACTATTGGTTTGCTTGTGATGCCTGTTTTTGGAGATCACATCTAACAAATAGACTAATTACTAAACATAAACCTTTAACAATTTCAGGTCCCTTCACAGATGTAGTCACTACAAATCTTAAATTACGAAATCCATCGGACAGAAAAGTATGTTTTAAAGTGAAGACTACAGCACCTCGTCGATACTGTGTGAGGCCAAACAGTGGAATTATTGACCCAGGTTCTTCTGTAACTGTATCAGGTAAAAATGTTTGGTTGTTTTTCTTTCTTTTATTAGCAGTGTGGGATCTTTTTCCTCTCTAAGGGCCACATTCCTTTGATGGCCCATATAAGATCAGCGTACACAGTTGGGCCTGATGAGCATTTACTGTTCCCAACCCAAATCCTGCAGAAAGCCATCTAATTCAGATTTAAATTTTATCCTGACTTCTTTTTAAGAGGTGATTTAATTACTGTTTGATTTTATATCAATGTTTATATTTGATGTTATCCGCTCTGAGCCCGGTCTCGGCCAGGAGGGCAGGATACAAATAAAAATTATTATTATTATTATTATTATTATTAATGAAAGTTGTCTGGGTCCACATATGAGCAGTGAGCAGGGCAAATTCCAAAATGGACAGGGCCAAAGCATGCATACACTGACTCCAGTCACACATCCACACTAATACTCTGTCTCCTGTGAGAGTGACAGAGATACTGTCTGGGAGGCAGACACACATATGAAAAAGAGCACTAAGCTAGATCATCTATTGATCATCTGTAAATGATCAAAGTGCCATCTGTGGTAGGCTTCCCAAGCTCCCATGCTTGACTTCCTCCAGTTTCTCTCCCATCCTTACCTTCTCTCTGATGATGAGACTGGAAGAAGTCAACTCTCTCAACTCTCTTCTCTTTTAGAGCTTGGATCCAAGGAGTGTATCTTTGGATCCAAATTATATATGCAAAATATTAGGGCAAGAAGAATTCTCTGCAAACTCTCTTTCTCTGGTGATCATATCATTCCTGTTTGAAGGAGTGTGGCAGATCTCTTCTGTCCTCCTTTGCTAACATTCAAGGTCCTGGGCATCTCTTACCCAATATTTGCATACATCACAATGGTAATGGGTGGCCCTTTAATAAATTCTTCCCACCATTTTCAGATGTTTCAAACTTCTGTCTGCTTTAACTTAATTACATACTTACATCAAATGCGGAAGCTCAGGTTGTTATGTGGACATAAAAATCCTGATTTTGCAAGTGAACTTGTCTTCATAATATTGGGGCATAACATATAACTATAAAAGGCAAATTTGCAATAAATGATAGAACTTGATTCTTGCAAGAGATCTTGTTTATTATCTGTTCCAAATGATTGCACAGTTCTTTCATGCTGAGTTTAAAATTTTGAAATTGACAGGAAAAGTAGGTTGCATGCCTCTAGTAATTCATACTTTGTCTATTATACAGTGATGTTACAGCCTTTTGACTATGATCCAAATGAGAAGAGTAAACATAAGTTTATGGTACAGACAATCTTTGCCCCCTCAAACATTACAGATATGGAAGCAGTGGTAAGTAAATAGATTTAATTTCAGTATTGTAAGCTAACAAGATGAATTCTTACTTTTTGCCTTTCGCCATATTTTATCCGTTAGGGTTCTTGTATTATGTTCAACATATATTTTGAGTCTGCCCAACTTCTCCTCCTCTATTGCTTTGCTGGCACAAGCTGGAAGAATACTGTTGCGAGAGACCTCAAAATGTACATTCCACTTAGGAACTAAGCCTTGAGCTCCTTTCTTCATCTTCAGGGGGGAAAGTGTATTTGCCATCAGTTGTTGGTACACCAATACTTACTTGGAACTAGTTGCATAAACTAGCCATTTTAATGCATTAGACATTAATGTTGGTCACACTTTTAAAAAAAAGTGTGCTTAATGTTACCACTTCTATTTTGAAGAAAAAATGGCCTTGTTCTCTCAGTCAGGATCTCAAAGATGATACTGTTTTAAGTAACAAGGACGTTCTGTGTGCTTCTTTTCTGACAAAATTTCAGTAGAATATAAGATGGTTGTACAGTACTAAGTGCAGGAAGTAGTATCTACAAGGATTATCTTTGTTTTCTGCCTTTAAATTTCATAAATGCTGTTGCAAAGTGGTGCACATCTTTGCTTGTTACTGGTAATTTATTGGATTGCTGTTTCACTTCCCCTGATAAGATCTATAATCTGAAGAGTCTTGTGTTTATCAATTTTGTGGCAAATACAACTTCAGAGTTTCTAATTCTAGAAAGTAGGGGGAATTTCTTCTTTCAGGGAATATGCCAATCAAATTTCCTTCCTGATAGCCTGATCCAAACAAAAAATAAAATAAAATACCCCCCCCACTATCTTTGAACATGGCATGTTTTAGTTTCCCTTCCTATTTGATATCTACCAAAGCACTGAATATTAGGTTGAGAGATAGTATCATTTCTTTGTTTATTAAGCAGAGAGGTACACAAGCCCCATACCTGTGTATGTTATATTTTCTGTTACATCTAAACTGGAAGCCTATGCTTGCCAGAAATGGAACAAACAATGGTTTCAGATCCTGGTAACCATAGCCTCCCAATTTGGGGAGTGTAGTGGGATATAGTGGGAGTGTAGTGGGATAAAAGTGGGAATGTATGGCTAATTAAACCAGGAAAACTTACAGTGGCATACCCCAGTGTGCTCAGACACAAGACTTGTACATATTTTTGCTTAATATCTTCCCAGACTTGGTTTGCCTAAGAGCTTCATGTCTAAGTAATTATTTGAACCATGATTTCCCACTTCTAAGCCTATTCAGTCTTAAAATACTGTGTATTTGACAAAGTTTGCATATTATGACTTACTAAAAATCAGCTAAAACTTAATTTATTTTCATTGTCCTAGTGGAAGGATGCAAAGTCTGATGACTTAATGGACTCCAAATTGAGATGTGTATTTGAAATGCCTAACGAAAATGATAAGCTGGTAAGTAAATAAACAAAAATGAAACAACTTCAAGTAGTGATTTTATAACAATGTATCTTAAGCTAAGAATGTGCTTCGTAGTTGTTTTGTATCTGAACAGTTTATGTAATTGTATTAAATAAATTAAAATATGGGGCAGTGTAACCAGTGATTCAGTAGCACACAAAAAGCTTTGTATTTTTACATTTCTTTTTAGCATACAGTATAAGTGCACTATTTTCTGTAACCTCTGTATCAGTCTATTTCTGCATCAGTGTGTGCCATATGCAATTTTGCATGCATATCCCTAGCTCATTTTGTCAAAGTGAAAGCTGCCTTGGTTCCACCTCTTGAAAACTGTGTTGCTTACACAGTGAGTGCAAGTTAGTCAGTTGGGAAGATGGGGTGTGTTTCAAAGAGGTGCAATGACCTTGTCACTGGGAACTGAGCAACAAAACTTCAAGACTCCCATGTATGATCACATAAAAATCTTTGAAGAAGGGTAGCATTTCGAAAGATAAAGCAGTATGGTAATATATTCTAAGAGCTCTATGTTTTTATGACACAATGAGCTACGGGCAATCCTACAATACTCTCCTGTTAAGGAGGATGAAACAAGTTGGAAACATGAGTGAAAGGGGTTATTAGCATAGGAACTTCTATATTTTTTATTTCAGTGCTGTAGCTAAAAGCTACAAGTGTGAGATCTGAGAAAAGGAAGCTGACAGTATGCATCCAATCCCTTCTTTGCCATTTTAGGCTGCACCATCTTATCTGGTGCCTATTGTTAAGTTGCACATGCTGTATAGGCACATAGGACATTGTCCTGGGCAGCAGAACAAGGATGTGCTTTTTCTTGATTCCTGCATGAAGATGCACCATTGCTCAGTGTTGACCCAAGACATTTGCTGCCTAAAATAGAGCTCCAGTGCCCTCTCCCGTTCAGGGACAACAGTTTTCAAAACGCTTGCTTGCAGCATTCAGACAGCAATTCCTGCCCTTACTACCTGCCATCTCATAGTGTTTCCTAAAGCAGGGCTAGCCTTGCCACTGGTGTAACTGTAGTCAGGGTATCTAGAAATTGATATGGCCAAGATCATGCTATGGAGCACAGAACTCTTAGATTTAATGAAAAAGCTGCTAAATCCTAAGGCCCTGAGATCTGTAATGTTCTTAAAACTGTCTTCTAATTTTCGTTATTGAGAGACTTAAATGGGCAATTGTTTTGCAAAATACTTAAAAAACTTCAGATAGCCACAGTAATGGCACGATGATAACCTTGGTACAACTTAAGAATTCCTGCCTGTGATTCTTAAATCCTTGTTCTTTTGCCTCTACAAATCTGTTGCCCTCCAATATCCTTTATGCTTTCCTCTTTTTCCCCTGCCCCACATCAATGGCCCAAGCTATTGCCACTTAGTTATTGTGGTCATTGTCACAAAGGTAAATAAATGTATGGCCTCGAATTCCATTTGCAATATTTTGAACAGTGTACCTAAGGAAAGGTTGCTGTGGGAAAGTTGAGGGCCAGCTCTCGCATGATTATACATGGTTGGGTTGTGGGGAAAAGTGAAACCTATATCCAGACAAGGATGTAGGAACTTCTAAATCTAGTAGGTTGGGGTAATTTACCAGTCCATAATTGATAGAGACAGGGAAGACCATGCTTTAATCTCTAGGGTTGGGGTAGAAAGTTATATCATCCACTTTAAGAAGAAAGACAGTTTTAAGCTTTTCAGAAGTATTATTCACTTTGTCCACCATGCACTGATGTTTGATATTTGCTAGCTTAGTTTTCCATTTATTAAACCAGAAGATTATTTGCAGATGTTTTTGTATTTCAAGCAAGTTTCCTTGATACAACTAGTTATGTAGCACTGCTATTTTTTATAGAAAGTGCTACTTTAAAGAATATAGGAGAGAGGAAACATTGAACTTAACTGAGCTGGAGGATATACTATAATCCAGCCAGAAATCTGTTTGCTATGGTTTTGCCGTTGAAGTTCTGCTGTCAAGCTGCTTTTAAAATTTCTTGTCAGCAGTTGGAAGTGCTGTGGAAACCCCAACAAAAGCAGCCTTAGCTTCTATATGTGGTTCTGTATATAGTTTACAGTATACAGTGGAACCTTGGTTCCCGAACAGCATAGTTTCCGAACAAATCGGCTCCTGAACGCCGCAAACCCGGAAGTAAGTGTTCTGGTTTGTGAACATTTTTCAGAAGCTGAACGTCTGGCGCAGCTTCCGCTCCTGCAGCCAATCGGAAGCTGTGCCTTGATTTTCTAATGGGCTCCCAGAATGGATTAAGTTCGAGAACCAAGGTACCACTGTATTGTGTATAGCACAATCATATACGTATTTAGCCAGAAGTAAGGCCTGCTGTTTTCAGTGAGGCTTACTCTCTTCTAAGTGATTAGATTAGCACCCTTAGTCAATGAAATCAATAAAAGAAGCTAGCTTTTTTGCCTATTCCTGTCTTGTAAGCTGTTACTTGACTGCTTGTGCATAACATTTATGTTTTTCTAAGTAGCAGAGAGGGGTTGCAGAGCCTAATCCTTTAGCCGTTGGTTTAGTCACTCCCCTAAGTCTTGCAATGAGAGATCTGCTGAGTGCTGAGGGCATGTCTCAGCTTCCACCTCAGACTTTATCTTCGTCAGGATCCGTACACATAACTCCATCCAACAGCAAGAATCTTCAGATACCTGCAAGTTATAGCCAGAAGATTGACATGATGGAGCAAGGCAGTGAGGTCAAACACAAGATGAATCAGGTTTGTTTTAGGGAGCTGAAAGCACTCAAACTCTTCTAGTGCCTCAGTGGTTAATTAAATTTATTGTAGTTAGGTAAGAAAATATCAATAGGCTTAAATTGGAAGAGAGCATTATTTGAGAAAGACCTCAGCTATGAAAATGGGTTAAATAGCATTACTTTTGTAGTGTATCCTGCTCTCAAATTTTGCTTTATTAATTTTTGTTGCTAGGATTGAGATATATGGCAAGGGGAAGAAGTGAAAGGCCTCAGTTGGAAGGGACCAAAAAGGGTCAGTAAGGCAGCTGAAACAGTCTTTAGGGCAGGAGCCTAAATTCTCCTTGGCAACTGTAAACAAATCTTTGGATTTGTTCTGATATTACACCAAGCCATGGTTTGGTTCTGAGAGCTGCCTCAAAAGAGCCTATTCACTCCGTCCTCCCCTTGTACATGTGGTTATTTTCTGGTTTTCACAAATCATAGTTTGTCACTATTTCTGAACCAGCAAACCATGGTTTGTACTTTTCCTGCAAAAAAGGAATGTGCATAGGGTAGAATTATTTGCCGTAGCTTAAAGAAATATGTGTCAATAATATTTGACGGCGATAACAGTTGATATTAAGGGGGTTATTAGTTTACAAAATATACTTATCTGAAATGTTACAGTTATTTTAATTCCAAACCTTGTACTGGCCTAGGTACTATGCATAATAAATGTTTCCTATTAAAACTCTTTTTTAAAAAATGATAATTTTAGGAAGCCAAATTTTGTGCTTGATTCAGCCTTGTATGTGTCAAATGCATACAGCATACACAATGATGTCTTACTGTACTTTGCAAATCTGTGACTGTTGCCATATCATTTATTCAAGCCTATACTGTTTGTATTATAATCAAATACAGTAAAAATGTTTCCTAAATATTTGAAGTTTCTTGAGTCGTATTGCAGATTGCCCACTGTGCTTAGTGACTGGCACATGAAATACATAGTTTTTCAGTTCTTGATGTCCTAACTTCTTTCTCTGCCATGCTCTAATTTATTCCTCTCCATTATAACAACTAACTGTAAGGCAGCATTACCTTTTGCTAATCCTGGTTAGCTCAAAATCACAGTTGGCAAACACATTAAGAAAGGGGAGCATAAGGAGTGTGCAAGCCCAGGGACATTCCTGATCTCCCAACCATGATTGGGTCATCAGGAACATTGTGTGGACTCGATTACTCTCTGTCTTACGCCCAGGGCTAAGATGTTTATTTCTGTTGAGATTTTCTCATTTTAGAATCAGGTGGGTATGAATTGTTTCTCTATTTTTAATCCACTTGAATTTTAAAATATTTTTTTGATGTTGGAAATTTTTGTAAAGGGTTCACCCTATCTAGGGTTCTCCCAAGATATGCTAGTGGACTTTAAGTGAAAAATTAGGCCTTTATTAATACAAATGTATGTAGAGTCAGCCTTCTAAAAAATCAGGCTGGCTGAACTTTGATCCTTTCGGGCATTATCTTTTATACACGTTCAGCTACATAGGCAATTACCACTTCAGACACAGCAATTACAGAATCACATTTACAGCACACTGTCATTATTCTTAAACCACTTGGAGATCCTTTGGCTCTTCTGACTAGCCCACCCCAACTTTCTCATGTGCATACACATAGCCACAGGGTGTGTGCATGTGTATCCCCCCCCTTTGGTTATTATGTTACGTATTTTCTGTTTTAATACTGTAAACTGTCCTGTGATCTTTGGATAAGGGGCAGTATATGAATTTTATAAATAATAACCATCTTTCTTCATTGTCTTCTGATTAATTGCTCTTTGTATTAGAGGTCTGCCAATGTCTGCTTTCAGGTATCTATGCTGATATTTTTGTTCTCTTCTTGACCTAGGATTTAGTGTAATAACTATACATCTCCTAGTATTTTGTTCTCCATCATCATACCTCATCTGTTTACATTTTATTCCTTTCAGTTGTGCTAGGAACTATAAGAGAACACAGGCTTGTGCATACTTCTATTTTAAAACAATTTGTTCTTTGGGAAAGATTTAGTAAAGCTCATACACAGATTTCAGAAATGAAATAAAATGGGGAAATGGTCTTACAACATATCTTTATCAATCATCTTTAACAATGGTTATTCTCTGGTTGTTTTTTCAGCTTTGTCATCTTTGTAACTAACTTGGTATTCCCCCCCCCCCCCCATGGTACTAAAACTAAAAAATGCTTAATGCTAGCTTTGATTAAAGAAAATCCTGTTCTGAAACCATTTTTAATATTTGCAGAATGACATAGATGCAAGCAAATCTGCTCCAATACTGAATACAGCTAAGCAGGATGGTCCAATGCCAAAACCACACAGTGTTTCGCTTAATGACACTGAAACAAGGAAGCTAGTGGAAGAATGCAAAAGACTTCAGGCGGATGTGGTGAAACTATCAGAGGAAAACAGACATCTGAGAGTAAGTTCATAAGAGCAGATTCATGAAAGTTGTTTTTAAAAAACCACCCTGTTTAAACGGAAGTATTTATCATAGTACCCTTATTACACATCCCATATCATTTTCTTCCAAGAACAAAGAATTGGTAGGCAATAGGCAACATCACAGTAGCAGACATGATGGGATTTCACAGGGCTCTCCCCACCCACCTCACACCTGAGCAGATTTTGGAGGAGCGTAAGGAACTGCGGAGGGGAGGAAGGGATGTCACCCACAGGATTTAGCAAACCTACAGCAAATTTCCCGGTCAGAGTATGTTTAATTCTTCAGATTTTTAATGTCAGAGATAAAGTTTAATTTTTTAATAACACACAGTAAAATAATTTGACGCTGGCTTCAACTTAAGCGACTTTTCTTAACTGATAGTCCTCTTAGCACCAAGCCTGCTCTGTTCATGTGCCTGTTGTTAAGCACTACCTCCAAACCAGAATATCAAACCAGAATCTGACTAATCAGATTTGTTGATGAAAATAAAATTATTCTTAAAACTTAGTTCACATTTTAAACTAGGATTTAGACTCTAAGATCCTGCCTGGGTCACCTAGATGCCTGTGGGAAACCGACAAGCAGGACTCAAGGACAAGAGCACTCTCCCCTCCTGTAGTTTCTAGCTTCTTATTCAAAAACATACTGCTTCCCACTGCTGAGGCAGCATATAGCTGTCTTAGCTAGCAGCCATTGATAGCCCCATGAATTTGTTCAATCTTCTTTTAAAGCCACCCAAGTTTGTGACTATCACTGGCGTTCCATCGTGTGGGAGCAAGTTCCATAGTTTAACTGTGCTATGTGAAAAAGTACTTTCTTTTCTATGAAAGTATTTTCTTTTATATGTGAGTTTACTGTGAGGTTCTCTTGGTTTGAATCCAAGAGATGTCATCCTGTAATTGTCATCAAGAGTATGTCCTGTATTCTAGTGTCTGTGAAAACTACACACTTTGCAGAGATGAGGTAGCTGGAGGGTATAAAATAGGAGTGCAGGATCACCCACTTTTAAATCATGAAGATTTATGACTACAAACAAAAGAACATAACACTTACTCTGCATCTCATGGACCAACACTGACTTGGATCCAATTTGCAGTATTCCATGTGCATGTAGAAAATTTCTCACTCCCCCTTCCCAAAAGAGCCACTCCCACCCCAAGGTATTGTAGAGGGTCCAAGTATGGTACCTGAAAGTGTATGATTTCTGTCCAAGAGTTGCAGTTCTGCAGCTGGAATCACCAACCTCATATACCATGTGCAAGTAGAAGTTCTTTCTGCTCATGCACAAAGCTCTGGGATTCCAAACAGTCTTCTTTGCCTAGTAACTATTAGCTTTGCTCCTAGAAAGTTTCAGTTTATTTACAGCCTGATATATGAAGTTTAAATCAGAAGTAAGTCCAAATTCAGTAGTGCTTAATTTCTAGATAAACATATGTAGTAGTGCAGCTGTTAGCCTTCAAGTAAGTGATCTTGATTAGTATGCTTGCATGTGTACAGAGAGCTAAACAGAAACCTGTCCCTTATCTTTAGGCATATATAATTATGCACAGTGTAAAATCTATGTGGTATGCATGATTTAAAATTTGTCTGCAGCCTTGTCTCACTCTTTTAGTCCTTGTTTCTCATTATGTCCTTGCCCATGACATCAGTTCTCTTGGCTTTTATCACAGTTGACTGAAGGTCCCTTCCTCTGTTACATGACTATTTTTCCTTGCTGCTCCTTATGCATCACTTCCAACATGGCCTATAAAATATCTGCCCACATTCTTTCTTCCCTACCCTTGGCATTCTCTGCCTGTCCCTGTAGCTTCCCCCACCCACTGCCCATCTTAAATGGGAAGCCCCTTGGGGTCAGGGACCTATCTGATTTATTCTATTCTGCAAAGTACCATGTACTGATGGCACAATACAAGTATATAGGAATAATAATTAGTTGTGAATATGTATTTTATTTGTTATAAGGTATTTGAGTGTATTCTTCTTATTCCTAAAGGGGATCAGTTTTCAGTTACTTAAATTGATCCTTTTTTCTTGGTAATTTTAAAATCTCCTTGATTTAAAACCAACCCACCCTTGAAATAATACTATAACAGCCTGACTAATAATCATAGTCAGTGGCTTCCACTGACAGAAGGGCTTTGGCCTCTCCTGAGAATCAGGGGACTGTCCTAAATGAAGTCAGTTGTTGAACAGGGGGTTGAGGGTAAAGGAGAGATAGGATTTGCCCCAGTTTTCAGCTTTTACACTTCCTTGCATCCAAGGCAGTGTAAGCTTTCCCTTGGTGTTTTTTGTTTGTTTGTTTGTGCTTGTTTTTACGTTTCATTTCTGAGCATTACACAAAGCCATACAAATCTTGTGGTCACTGAAAATCTAGAAGGTGCAGTGTTATGCTGTTTGATTAATTTGCAATCCTGAGCTAATAGTGGTGTTCTGGGATAAATTGCCATCATAAGTGGAACAGTTTAAATAGTTGGGTCTTTTGTTTCCCCAGTTTTGTAAACAGGCTATTATTGATGGTAAATAACAGTAGAAGGATTACTATATTTTGCTGTTGTTGCTAATTTATACACAACATGCTACGTTTTATTTTGTGCTACATTTTGACATCTTTTAAAGTCAGATACTGTGCACACACACAAATAAATTTGTATCTCATCTTAACCTGTCTTAAGTTTTAAAATGTTTTGGTTAAATTCAGATCTGTAACAATCTCTTTGATGATTTTTGATTGATTATTTCCCCCCATGTGTTTTCAGGATGAAGGTTTGAGGCTGAGAAAGGTGGCACACTTGGATAAACCTGGAACATCAGGCTTGGCTCTCCGAGATAATGTCTCCAATCCTCTTCCCTCACTTCTTGTTGTAATTGCAGCCATTTTCATTGGATTCTTTTTAGGGAAATTCATCTTGTAGAGAGGGGAAAAAGAGAGAGAAGCATGCAGAATGCAGCTTCCTTTTTTTTCTTGGCCAGAAAAAAAATGTATTTACCTACCACTTCATTGGTAGTATGGCCCCAAGTGACCATTATTGTGTACAGCATCATACAGGCTTTGCCTCTAATGATCTTGCACGGTTAGACAACACAATAAAAAGACAAACTGGTCGGCTGCTGGACAAATTGTATATTAATTCATCAATAGCAGGTGTCAGTTGCACATTCAGTCCTTTATGAAAAGTCATACATAAATAAAGAATTGTTCTTTCTTTCTGTGGTTTTAATAAGAGTTCAAAAATTGTTCAGAGTCTTGTAAATGTTATTTTAATAATCCTTTAAAAAAATTATCTGTTGCTCTTGCCTCTTGGAAAATGATTATTAGAATGTTAATCCCACTTGTTCAGGAATATGATGAGGCATTCTGCGGGGAAATGATTCCTCTTAGTGTGTAAATTTTATCCTTTACCTTACTTTGCTAATATCATGGCAGAATTTCTTACCCCTTGTGAGGCAGTTGTTAAAGTTTTCATCCTTACAGCCCTGTCCCATGGTATTTAACATACAAAAAAATAAAACTGTTAACATACTTTATGCTGGGTAGCTTGTTTCTGTGAATTCCACTTTGAGAAAAGTTTTCCTTCAAGTTTTACACATAACCTTGTCACAGATGAATGTTCAGTTCACTAGCTGTGGCTTGAACTGGTGCCAGTGAAGCTTTGGAAGAAACATAGCTGTTTCCATACTATTTAACAGCGGCAGAAAAGGTTTCTGGCTTTTTAAGCAAAATGAAAGGTTAGAATTAGTTCTGTTTTGGGACATGGGACTAATTACAAGAGGCAGGTATTTTAAACTTGTCTTTTAAAATAGTGGTGGACTTTGCAGGTATCAAATAGGTATATTTCTGTTGATTCATTGATGCTCCCTTATCTGGAGTCCCCAGTAGTCCTTTAATGATCAATAATTTTGCATTCAGGCTGACTAGTCCAGATGTTTTCTGGAAATACATTCTGTGTGACCTTTCCAAATAATTTTTCCTTAAGTACCTTAGGTTGATTCCAGTTGAGCAATCTTTTATCGTTTAGTTTTATGAAAGGAAAATAAAGTTTTGTCCAGCAAATATGTCTTGGCACACTTGCCCATTAGCTATGCATACCTTCTATGTTCTAGAAAGTTTATTTTGTTGGGTCTGAACTGCTTCTCCTCACTTAACCTCGTGGCTTGTTTCATTTCTGATCTCTATGTCATTAAGTAGATAATTTTGAAAGCACAATACTTAGCTATTTTTAACTGTTAGCCACCATAGGGAGTTATTTCAGAACTGACATTCTTGAAAGGCTTATTCCTGTAGGCAGAATTTTGTATATTCTTGGATATGGATGCAGCTAACTGTTCGATCTTATGTAGCTGAGAAATGTTCTAGCAAAAATATACATATTGGTTGCCTTTGATTTCTAGTGCTTTTTTTATTGGAAAATATACATCATGTACTGTCACTGCTGTCTCTGGCAAACTTTTATAACACATGCAATTTGCAAAGAAGAAGATGAACAAACCATTGCATGATGTTTCACTTTAAAAGCATGCAAATACAAACGTTTCCTTTTTATGTGTTCTGGTATCTGCATTCAAGTCTTCTCTGACCATGGTGACTGGAAAAAGTATGCTCAAGTCTAATTCTCATTTCATCAGTTCTGAAACCATAAGACTCTCCATACTGTGGTGTATAAATGGTACGTCAGAAGAAATCATTTATTCCTTAAAGGAACTTGACCATTGGAAGATTACAGGGGGAGGGGGGGCTAATGTACAGGCTGTAACTTCTGGATGCATTTGGATATTTCTATATGGAAGGAGAAAATTTAAAAGTTACATTTGCTGTTAAAGGAGTGTACACAAAGGTTTGTAGCAATAGCTACACATTTTAGGGTTAGAGATTAGAGAATAATTCATCAAAGACAAAGTGAACTTAGAAGCTTGATATTGAGAAGTATCCTGATGTCAGAAAATAATGATGATCCAGAGACAACCATCTGATTATCATAAATATTGAATAAGTGATAAATTAAGTTGCGAGAGCCTGTTGGGCCATGTAGTTGGATTATATGTTTTAAAGAGAACTATTATTGAACAAGTCAAAGTGCATTTGGGCGTCATGTCCAGTATACGTAAAGTGCGGTGCTCCTTAAATGGATGCGCTTGTGGTTTCTAATAATCCTTTCATAATTGTATATAAAATGTAATGCTAAACTATTTTTTTGCTCTCAGGAGTGATTTTGGATGATATCAACTGTATTCAGTGAAATTATGTAACACAGATTAAATTGTCTGTTCCTGAAATGGTTAGAACTTTGCCTGCTTGCTTGTGTACATAAATGTGAGGAAAATCTGTCCCTGTTACTAATAAGCGTCTGAAAACTCTGTGTGTGAGAACCTTCTGTCCCCTTAACATTAGATTTCATGTATGTTGTGAATTACTTGATCCTGCAGCCTGGATAGTCATAAGCCTTTGTAACATGTCTTAGTGTACATTACAGCCGAATACAAATTATGATAGAAAACATTGTGTATTTCAAATTATATAGACAGCCTAAAAGAAGCAGATGAATGAACAGAGAATAAAATATGTATTCCTTCTTTTGCTCAGTAAGTATAATGTGGCAGAGAAGCATTGTTGAAGCTGTTTAAACAGTTTAAAAAGGAAGCCTCTGATAACATAATATTAAATGAAGTTCTGAGGTATACATCCCAATGCACATATCTTTGCTGTCTACATGTAGACTGATACACTACTGTAGCCCAATACTTTAAGTGGGTGCTATTAGTTTAATTGTAAAAAATGAATTATTTTGGAAAATTGTAAAGGTGTTGAAGTCTTTCCAACTAAGCCTTAAGATTGGTGGTATTATGATAAAGCTTCATAGTTACTGCTTTGGACTATTAATACATGGTCTGAAGAATCAGGCCAACTCTTTAAAATCTGTTAGCATGTTCAGCAAATACGTCTAGTTTGGAGAAATTTTTTATATTTGTGCATGGAGAAATCATTGCACATTTTCTTTTGGTGTTTTTTTTTTTTTTTTTTTTGTTTCTAAGCATGCTGGGAGAAGGCTGGAAGTTTCAAGTAATTTTGGAATGGGTGGTTGCGGATGTGCACACATACTGTTCCTACAACGTTGCCTGTAGGGTGAATTACTGACCTTCAAAGCCCTAAACGGCCTCAGCCCAGTATACCTGAAGGAGCGTCTCCACCCCCATTCCTCAGCCTGGACACTGAGGTCCAGGGCCGAGGGCCTTCTGGCGGTTCCCTTGCTGCGAGAAGCCAAGTTACAGGGAACCAGGCAGAGGGCCTTCTTGGTAGTAGCACCCACCCTGTGGAACGCCCTCCCATCAGATGTCAAGGAAATAAACAACTATCTGACTTTTCGAAGACATCTGAAGGCAGCTCTGTTTAGGGAAGTTTTTAATGTTTGAAGTTTTATTCTGTTGGAAGCTGCCCAGAGTGGCTGAGGAAACCCAGCCAGATGGGCAGGTTATAAATAATAAATTATTATTATAAAGAGACCCTTGTTGTATTAGCAATTTCTCAGGTGGTTATCAAATGATATCTTGCTGCAAAAATTCTGGGCTGGTACCTAATATTGTAAGTGTGTAAGATGAATAGGTGGTGTCTTTTAAGAACGTTTGTTTTCTAATAGTTTTATTTCTTACACAAGAAAGGCTTTGATGGAAGTTGCCGTCCATCATAGTGTATAGATTGCCCCCCCCCCAGGAGAAAAACCTGATCACTATATTTTAGTTTATGGTTATCACAAAATGTTTTCAGACAATTGAGTTAATATCCCCAAATCAGTGAAACTTTTTCTAGAAGGGACATAATGATTACAAATTCAACATGCTCACATAAAAGTATTTGTACTAGTAAACATTCTCATAAAATATTTCGCCTTTAAGGTTATGTTAGCATAAACTCTGAATTTCAGAAATCTTAGCCATGGAGAGAAAATGGACGTTAGTGGTTGATTTTTGTCTTAAGCGTCAAACTGGGACATTGAACAGTTTGCTTACCTGAGATATGGATGTCTACTTGTTCATAAACAATGGAGGCAATTTCTTTGTACTTGGTGAAATTCAGATGCATCAAGTATTGTTACATATACCAGGTGTCTTGGGTAGTATGAAAAATCTATATTCATGGTGGATTTGGTTCTGTAGACTGAATCCAGGTAGTTTTTAATGAGAATCTTAATATTTTGTCACAGCTGCTACAGTTGGGGCAACAAAGGAGGGGGAAAGGGAGAGGTTAGGATAACCAGGTTAATAGGCACAAATGCCTTGATAGATATTTTGGATTTTCAGCTTGGGATGAGACCTGAGTTGGGATTTTGTCTCTTGCACTTCTACCACCTTAATAGTCTGCTTTGCTGCCACCTGCTGTTCGTTGGGCCTGGAAATTGAAATCTTGCTATAAGGACAAATAATGTAAACTGAAGAATGCTTACTTTCTGTTTATATTCATTTGCATATTTTTAAACTTTCAATTTGTAAACTAAAATATACTTTGGATCCCATCATGGCCCTATATATTCTTAGGCCCCTTGTTCATAATAGTTTTGATTTTTACTGCAGCGTATCTAAGTAGTTTGTTTTAAAGTTGACCCATGAAATTGCTGAGGGAGGAAATTGTTATACTTCAAATAAAAGTGGTCTTCAATAGCCAGTGTAATGTGGTTATCCCAGATTCAGCTCCTTTTGCCTGCTGTTTGCTAGTTGCCCAGGAATGCTATCTGCTGGGTACTTCAGCACTGCAAATTGTGTACACGCATTCCCTTGACCACACAATCTTGAGACTAAGCATTTTCTTAAAGTATGGGCTCGTATTATTTTGAGCTTTATCTCTTCTAAGTGTTGTAACACACCTTGAACATAGGGGAAACGACAGGAAAGGTATTGAAATTTAAGGCTTCGACTTAGAAAATTGTACAAGATAATGCAGAAGCTGAGTGATAGAGCCACGAATATGCCAACACTACATTCCACTGAAAAGTGCTTTTTATATTTTATATTTGATCTGACAGCTGCTGAAATTGGCTCTTCTTTCTACTGTACTCTCTTAGGATCACTGGATTAAATGAAATGAACTAATATAGGCAGTTCTGCATGGTATCGAGGCCCTGTTGGAGGGATCCTTATCAATTATATTTCTTTTCATAATATAAGAGTTCAGCTTCATTAATTGGATTATATGATAAATTTGGCTGTGTGAATTACCCAACCCGAAGCAGTGAAATTATCAATAAAATTATCAACTGCTTCTTGACTTGGCTTTCCATCACCATAATTAAGTTCTGAATATAACAAACTGTTTCTACTCTGTAATGGAAAAAAGTACTTTATTTAAGCATTCTACTGGTTTGCAGACCATTTGTCTGAAAGTTCAGGGCACCATCAACATGCTGTCCTTGACATTAAGCTCCAAACCTTTCAAGTGTTGGTAGCAAAGTGGCTTATGAAAAGCATTTATGGGAGTCAACGGAGCAATTATGAAACTGTATTCTGGCTTTCAAGACTTGTTGATACACTGAAGAGCTGAATTACATTTTAATGCTAGGCAATTGAATTACTTTAACTTTTTATTGTGTGTTCTGTTTTGGTTCAAATCACTGAAAGTGTTGGCTTTGAAAGTAGTTTCAGTGCAGATGAGAAGACGTCAGAATGTCTGTGTTAGTCATCTACACTGCCAAGAACTGTTTTGGGTTCCCTTAATTGAAAGTTGGAAAGCAGAAAGTGCTGTTGATTAGCTATTCTTTCCGAGCACTGGAAATTTTCCTAATTGCTGAAGTTTGTATATATGTATGCCAGCTTGAAAGAGTTGATAGAAGTTACTTTATTTCTCTTTTACACTGTACCAGAATGGCTAGTTTAAAAAGTTAATACTGCTTGACTAGGATGTAGATTACGTGAAACGTTAAAGTATTTCCCACATTTTCAGATGTAATTTAATTGTTCATAGCATTAACCCACTTTGTGTTGCGTTGCATTCCTGAATTAAAGGTTTTTATGAGAAAGAGAACATGTACAAAGGTAAACAATAGATGTACTTTTATTATGAGGTTTTGAAAAGAACATGAGAATACCTAATTCACTTGATTTCTTCAAACTGTGATCCCCCCACTGCAGCAGAGTTTTCTATTTGCAATCAGTTTTAAACAGAACATCTCAGAACTAGCTAGCTTATAACAATGTTTGAGAGACTTAATATTGAAATAGTAGTTCCCATGTCTCATAAAACCTGTTTGACTTTTTCCATGGAGCAGGGTTTCATACCCCATCCCAAAAAAATAACAATTCTCCATTTGTGTTTGCGGGCAAAGAGCTCTTAACTTTTGAAGTCTTATTCAGAGTTGAGACAAGAAGTTACCACTAGGTGGCAATGTTTTATTATACATCATGTTTATTGCAGGCCTTTAAGCAACCTCCAATCTGAATTAATTTTTGTGAGCGGTTTTGGATTCTTAATAGGGACTTGTGCTTGTCTCCCACATCCCAACTATTTTAGGCAAATGCATACTATATTTGCATTTCTAAAATTTGCTTCTATTATCTGCCCTGATGACTTGGGAAGGGTTAACTTATAAATGCAAATGAATGTGTAAGCATTAAGTAATGGGTCAGTATGTTCATTACTTGATTAAACCACTGGACAGTTTAGGGGTTTGCGCAGTAGTTGCTGAATGGTGTAAATGCAAGAAAACTTTTTCTCTGTATGCCTACAACTTGCTGCACTGTGTGACCCATAACTAATGTGGCTTGAGATTTTCAGAAGCCAAGTGGAATACTTGTGATTACTGATGTTGAAGGGAAGCTTTTTAAAATTATTGGGCTCCATTTAGTTAGGGATGAAAGCTTATATGGCAGGATTGTGTTGTTGTTTTTAATGCCAAGGGAAATTAAAGATCAGTTTGGAGATTTTTTTGGGGGGGAAATCTCACAGAAAAAGAAAAGCGCTTGAATGCTTACCCCCCAGCTATATGAGCGTGCCCTGTTTATGATATGGTGTATGAACCATTTAACTCAGATTAAATTGCTACTTGCTATCAAACAAGATTTATATTTAACTTTATATGGCCTGATATACAGCTGTAGATAATAGTTGCTCAATATAAAATATAAACTTTGTGCACATGCACACAGCAAGAGTTTATAGTTAAAATTCTTCAGCTTGGTGGATACAACTATTGAATACAGAAAAACTACTGAGAAGACTTCCAAGAATTTTGGTTTCATTTACTCTTTATTTAATCAACATTTTCAACAAGTACTGAAACTTCCCTGGCACTTTAGAGAAGAAAACTGGGAAGAAAAAATAGTTTTTTAATGTTACAAAAATAAAATATCTTTTTTAAAAAAACACCCTTGGTTTTATGCAAATATACAACCACCTTAAAATCTCAAACCTGCCCCCAGCTCTACTCTGTTCCAACTTCCCAATCCAACGTGCCTTCAAACCTGGACGGTGCCTTCCTAGAGCACTTTACCAAACTATTGAAAAGAAGTGGGAGACTTCCAGCTATTTCAGTATCTGTTGGAACTAAAACTCTGCCAATAATGTAACATCCAACATTCCCTCACTTCCCAGAAAGTGGAAGCAGCAGCAAGGGGACCTGGTACTAACCAACAGGGAGGAACTGATCAACGAAGTGAAAGTACAGGGAACCTTGTGAGGAACTGATCATGTCCTCAAAGGCAAGAGAAAACAGAGTGTAGTCCGACATGCATTCTGGACTTTAAGATGTCTGATTTAAAAAATCTTAAGGAACTACTGTGGTCAGAAATACTCAGAAGAGAAGGGAGCCCAGTATGTCATTCTTAAAGGTGAAATATTGAAGGCACAAATGCAGACAATTTGCAACAAGAAAAGTGGGAGGCACCTAAACGAGTGGGGCTGCATAAGGAGCTTACAGATGAGCTGAGGTGTAAGAAGGGAATGTATAAGAAATGGAAGGAAGGAGAAATCAGGAAGAAAGAGTATACAGTTGCAGGGAGAAGGTCAGGCAGGCCAAAGCTCAGAATGAACTCAGGCTTGCAAGAGAGGTTTAAAATAATAATAAGATTCTTTGGTTGTGTTTGAAGCAAGAGGAAGAACAAGCAAGTAGTAGATCTCTTGCATGGAGAAGATGGAGAAATGCTATTGGGTGACAGAAGGCGGAACTGATCAACACCTATTTTCCTCTGCCTTCACCCAAAAGGAAAGCAGTGCCTAACCTGATGAAAGCATAACAAACAATGCAAGGAGGGAGCTGCAGCTCAATATAGTAAACCAGGTGGTAAGGAATTCAAATCTCCAGGGCCTGATGAGCTGCACCCAAGAGTAGTAAAGGAGCTTGCACATTTTATATCAGAGCCTGTGTCTATAATCTTTGAGAATTCTTGGAGAACAGATGAAGTCTTTGTAGAAGGCAGAAGTATTTCACCTGTTCTCCAGGCAGGCAAATGTCCCCATCTTCAAAAGGGTGGGGAGAAGAGCCAGGTTACTATTGACCAGTCAGCTTAACATTTTACCAGGAAATGCCCTAGAACAGATAATTAAAAGATGCTTTGATTACCAAGACCCAGCATGTGTATCTCAAAAGCAAGTCATGCCAGAAGAGTCTTTTTTAAAAATAATAGTTGCAAGCATGGTAGATCAGGGGAATGCTGTGGACATAGTGTATCTTGATTTCAGTAAGGCTTTTGACAAAGTCCCTCATATTCTTGCAGAGAAGCTGGCAAAATGTGGGCTGGAAGAGGTAACTGTTAGGTGTATTTGCAAGCTGGTTGACTGCCCAAACCAAAAGAGTACTCACTAATGGTTTCTTGTCATCCTGGAAAAGACATGACAAATGGGATGCCACAGGGTTCTGTCCTGGGCCTGTTGTTGTTCAACATCTTTATAAATGACTTGGATGAAAGTATTCAGGGGCATCGGAATCGGGATTCAAGATGACCTTAACAGATCGGAAAACGGCCAAAACTGACAAAATGGATCTCAGTAAGGACAATTGTAAGGTTCTACACTTAGGCATGAACAACTGCAGAATTATAAGGTGGGGGACATCTGGTTTGTCAGTAGTACATGTGGAAAGGATCCCCAAGCTTAACATGACTCAACAGTACTATGCAGGAGCAAACCAAGGGAAGTAAGTCCTCCTCTATTCTGCCTTGGTCAGGCCACACCTGGAGTATTGTGCCCAGTTCTGAGGGCCACAATTTAAGGAGGATATTGGAGGTTTTAAAGTAGAAGTTGGGCAGCCATATGCCATGTATGATTTAGTTGATATTACTGAACTAGATGACCCTTGGGGTCCCTTCGAATTCTACAATTCTGAGATTCTATTATTCTAAGTAGCAGGGAGGGCTGATGGACAGGTGAAGCTTTGTAGCAGATTCCCAATTCAGGAATCATAATCTACCCTGTAGCAGAACAGTCAAAGAATCTGCAGCCCAGAGCCAAATATACGCAGAGGTTTCTCACATCTAATTATGACAGATGTGGAAATACAGGTGTTGCACATGGTGCTTTTCACTGTCGTTGTCAAAAGTCCAAGATCTCTATCTGAATTGTATCTTTGCTTACTTCAGCATAAATGAGTTCCCCTATCACTTCTGCAGATAATAAAAATCAAGCGGAGAAAGCAAGCCCATGGCAGCAGCTTCCAGTGAATGTTTATACATTAGAAGTGTAATTCTGCTGGTAAGAATGGTCCCTTTTCCGAGATTTTGTAGACTCACTTGCATCCCTCACTTTCTGTTTCTTGTGGCTTACCACAGGTTGTATATAGTTGTATCCCTTTGTCGACAGAAGACTGATCTTATGGAGGCTTCTATGTACAGAAGGGAGAAGTTTCTTTATGCCACCTTCCCTCTGCAGCTTCTTATCGCTCCTTTCCTTCTTATCATGCGTTCCAATTTGTAAGTTTGGATTTTAATCACAGAACACTTCCTATTATACTAAGGGACCCAACACCGTGGCTTGGTTTACCCATTGCTATTTTTCACCAGTGGATTTGAAACTTGTCCCCCTTGTACATGTCAATAAATTATATGTGACTACACATGCATGAAAGAGAAGAGATAATTTGTTCTTCAAACTGCTGGTTTTAAATATGATGATATTTAGGGAGAGTATCTTTTGATTCTGTGTTTCCTGGCCTTGTCATTGTGGCATTATGTAAAGAGGCTACTGAGAATTTAAAGCGGGTGGGGAATCTGTCCCTCCAGATGTAGCTGGACTAAACTCCCATCATCAATGACCATGCTGGCTGGGGTTCTGTCCAATAATGTGAAAGCGATAGGTTTCCCTGTCCCTGATTTAAAGCAATGGAATTTACATGACCCCCTGTCCCATTCTCAGTGAAAAAAGGAATCATTTAATATTCAGTTTGTCTACTTCACTAATAAAAGGATACAGACTTGGCTAGCATCCTGTTCCTAGTTAAACTCCATTTTTTGCCACAACGTATTATGAATTCTTTAAAAAAAAGTCTTGCAGAAATAAATATATAAAGATAAAGATTAAGCCTTGCTTACTTTATTGAATTGCCCAGTCTAATAAAATGAATGTCAAGTGCATTGCATTTGGCAAACGGTCCACTATCCTGAATTTCTTATGAAGATATGGTGTAATTCACCTTGGTGTCTATATTTGAGAGATCTTGTTGCTTTCTTCCCTTTGTCTTTGCCTTTTCAAAGTTGGTGGAAAGTGGTTGGTGGACCCCTGAAATTGCTTTGAACTGTGATAAGTTGGGCAACTTATTAAAGAACATTGGTGCCATATGTCACTCTAAATCTCTGATTATTCTTAAATTCACCACCTATATATACAATCATTTAAATTATCTGTGCAGGTTTAATTTGAGATTTTCCATTCAGCATTCTTGATCCTAAAGATCATTTAATATTTTATGTAAACTCTATAAAAGTGTATTTAAGATACATCCTTAGTTGGATTTTTCATATATACATATATACACTGCAACATAAGAACAATACAGTTTATCAGTATTGACACAATACGATAAAAGCATAATTCTAGATAATCAAATTCAAAGATGAAACTGATTTGGGGAGTAGGAGCAACTGCAACAGCACAGTTGGTAGATGAAAAGTTGTGTAAGATAGTTCAGCCCAATAAGTTTTTCTTCCAAAGAACAAACTGAAGACAGGGTGAAGGGTGAAGAACTGCAGTTTTAAAGTGCAATTACTGTTGTGCAGTCATGTCAGGCCATGGATCAGATTGGATGAAGTTCAAAGCAGAAGCAAACTGGTGCTATTTATGATTCAAGGGGGATAAAAGGAACAACAGTTCTTCAGGCATCAAGAAAATGTCCTTTTTTTGTCTGTTAAGATGCTTTATGACATCTTCTCCCCATGTAGCCTAAGTCCTACACTTGCCCTGATAGGAGTCATTTGAAAATGCAATTCTAGCTGTAAATGCCCAACGTTGGCACAGTACTAACAGCCAGCATCATAACCAAAACAAAAGCACAGGGATTTTTTGCTGGTGCTCCACTGCTGTACCATCCTAGTTTGTTTTCTTCTAAAGTTTCATCTACTCTTGGTGCGGATGAAGTACATTGAATTAAGGGCATTTGGTATGAGGTGGCTCTCTTTTCTGGTCTGTCTGGACTGGATCCATCACTAGGTCTCTGGCCATTATACAACAAGTATCTCCCTCTGGCATCCTGCTCCATTTTGAAGATCTCGTACTCTGTATGCGGCAGCCGAATTCCCAAAGCAATGCAGCCGTTGGTGTGAGTAACATCTTGCTGCACCCCAACTTGCCAGGATCCTTCTGCCCCACACTCATCTCCATTGAAGACATTCAGTAGAGAGGCAGTAGCTATGTCCATGGGTGTAACCTTCATATGATTCACTGCAAAAAAACGAAGAAGGGACTGTTAATTGTGCCTTGAGGTAATATGATTTTGTCAACAGCCAGATTTCTGTTTCAGGAAGAGCTTGATTCTCTTCTGTAGAAGTTTCTAAACCTGTTGACCTTGAAAGACACAGCATTTGCTTCTGAACTGAGCCTTTATAAATGTGAAGAGTAACTCAAGTGTGTGGAAAGAAAGAAAAAAGTGGTTTGAAACCAAAACCAGTAAGAGTTGCAAGTGAAGTCATAAGAAGAGCCCTGCTCATTAGTTCCTGGGCCCTTCTAGTTCAGCATGCTGTTCCAGCAGTGCCCAGCCAGATATGTTAAGAAAAGTCCAAGCAACAGCCATTCCCGTTGTTTGCCCACAGCAACTGCTTTTTCACAGGTAAGCTTCCTGTAAACCATTTAGCTATCATAACTAATCACTATTAACAGATCTATCCTCTGCTGAGTGTGTCTCAATCCCCTTTTAAATTTATCTAAGCTAGTGGCTCTTAGAACAATGTCCACAAGTTAGTGAGTTGAATAAATGGTTGGCTTATTGTGGGAATTTCTTGTAGCAGTGCTCTCTGTTTTGACTAAATGAAAATAATGAAGTCAATTTTAAGGGTGAGCAAAATGTAAATCAGATACAGTTGTACCTCAGAAGTTGAACAGAATCCGTTCCGGAAGTCTGTTTGACTTTCAAAATGTTCAGAAACCAAGGTGCGGCTTCTGATTGGCTGCAGGAAGCTCCTGCAGCCAATCAGAACCTGCGTCGGGACATTCGGGTTCCAAAGAACGTCCATAAACCTGAACACTCACTTCCGGGTTTGTGACATTCGGGAGCCAAAACGTTAGACTCACAAGGTGTTTGACTTTTGAGGTACGACTGTACAGAGATTTAATGACACTGCTGAATTCTCAGTGTGGTAACACTGCTCAATAATTTGAGCGGTACCAGAAAACAAGCTCTCAAGGTAGCCATTTTGTTTTTGCAAATCACCCATTTTATCTTTATGGTCACTTTGTATGCCTGTACGTTGCCGTTCATTTCTCCTCTCTTCCTATTGAATCAGGGATAATTTAGTAAATGTGGTGACATCATGGAAAGCAAAGCTGATCGGAGAGTGAGGACAGGGCTTCCTGAACTGCTGAGATAGGTGACCTCAGCCAAGAGAACCATGCTCCCTGCCCCACAATGAGCAAACACTTTTTTGCTCACTCCCTGAGTAACAAAATTGTCTAATGTGGTGGTTTACTTTCTGTTGCTGTTGGAAGACTTGCAAAAAGTGTCATTTCTTGTAGCTCAGCCTTGACAGTGTTCAAAGGAATTAGTCCTTGGGCACGACCTAGATTTAATATGCTACTCTATCTTATGATATAAACAGGTTGCATCACCTCCTCTTCTATAGTAACCATTGCTGGTCTGTATGGTATATGTATTCCTCCTTGGCACGCTTCACCTCTCATTCTCACTGGACTATCACATGACTGCTTTACAGCTATTGTACAATGTTAAGAAAAGGTTTGAATTTCCTTAAAATATGAAATCATGCAACTGCTGTGTAACATGTGTGTGGAAAAGCTACAACAAGGAAGACGGCAAACTGCTAATCTTGATTGATTCACTGACCCTTGGTCATGAACAAATATTTCAGCAAGGCACGAACATATCCTCATTTTTTCTTGTTTTAATGAGCATGACCAATGCAAGCATTTAATTTTATTAGCAGTGTTTACATCTCTTTGACATTCATTTCAATGGAGGACTTGAATCAAAGCTTATGCATTCACATGTTTATAAGCAAGAGAGTTCTGAGCTAAAATGGAGTTCCTGCACCCGTAAGCAGCTCTGGATTGGAGGGTTGTCTATTATTGCCCTAACATCCTTATGCACATGCTAGATAAAATAGCATCAAAGGTGAGGACATGCTGCAATCTTTGATTTAGGAACAATAACAATTACTTTATACATTTACTCGTTAGATTACATCATGTGATTACTTAGAGTGGTTCTGATCTAAATATAACATAAAACTACATTTAACATTCTTTAAAATAACAATAAAATAAAAAAGCACGTTTAATTCTGATACTTACTGTATTTTTTGCACCATAACACTCACTTTTTTCCTCCTAAAAAGTAAGGGGAAATGTCTGTGCGTGTTATGGAGGGAATGCCTACGGGTGGCATGCCTACGGATTTTCCTCTAAAAACTATGTGCGTGTTATGGTCGAGTGCGTGTTATAGAGCGAAAAATACGGTATTTTACAGGGAAAACAGCCACAGGGTGCTGTTCCAGTACTTTGCTCTCAATCCAAGCTTTAAACATACATTCATAGAAATTTGTTTCCATACACATATACCCCCAGCTATCCAGTTGCTCAATAAAGCTTCATTAAAGTAAGCACAAAAATTAATACGCTTTTTAAAATAAGGTGCAAATTTATTTGAAATTAATTATAAATAATTTTTCCAGTTTGATGCTCGATTTCTTTTTAAGCCTCTAAATGTCATCAAACATTTTAATACGCCTATTTTTCAAAGTGTAAAACTCAAATGTATTTATATAATGAGCTGGGGACAATAAATTGGGTCAGTTACTTGTTCAATCTTCACAAACATTTTTAGCTTCTTTGTAGTGGGCATGCTAAGCAAGTGAACTAACATTGGTTCACATAATTAATTCTTCAAGGAGGGGGGAAAGCAAGTTCCACCAAAAAAGAAAAGAAAAAAAGACTGATGTCTAGATAGGAAAGGCAAGAGATTAAACAGTTTCTATTTCACAACCCTGCTGCCCCAGGCAAGCCTACAAATAAAACCAAGTTGGTTTTCATGAGAGAGGACGCTATAAAACTGCACTCAAATTTCATTTAAAAATTGTTCTGTAGCCAGGATATAAAGCTATGTCTTTTAACATATACTTGCTCAGAAAGCTAATGAAGTAACCAGTTCCAAATGGAAACCAAAAACCTCAGAAAATGTCAGCTCCATTACCATCATATATTATCCACACTTTTAAAGCTGCATATGTGCAACATCTTGAGGAATGGATAATCTATAAACTTCAGAGCTTTAAAAAAACAACCTTGATTTATATCAGCCAAGTTCTCCTAATCCTGAAAAGACTGACTAGATTTAATTTAAAAGTAATTTAAACAATTTTGTTTTGAGTTCCAGCTGAACTGAAAGGGCCTCAACAAAGGGAATTCCAAACAAACTTAAGTTGGTCCAGTTTCAAGTTTGGGTGGCATATTTTAATAAATTTATATGAACAATTCAACAAATCCTAACAAAAACCCAGGCCCCCTTGCATGTCATTTCAACACAGAAGCAGCTCTATTTAGATTTCTTATGTTTGACTTCATCCTTTGACTTCATAGGTTAGCTTTTATGGTCTATGCTTAAGACTGGAATGCCCACCAATTGATCACAAACCCAGGAATGCCTTTATAAAAGTGATGGGCAAGTTTGTCATGGATGTTAGGAGTGAAGGCTTTTTGTTCCTCAGCTCTGCAGGAGTTTGGTGTGTTCTCTCACCATTTCGGAAAAAGAACTTGCAGCTTTACTCTTTAGGCACAACCACATTTCATTTTATAGTTGCCATGTGTCTTTTTTGTTTGATTCTTTTAAGAACTGTTTGTAGCTCGGCTATCCCTGGGGTTCTATATAAAAGCCAAGGAGAACTGCTTGCTCTCTTTAAGGTGACTGATACACGTTTTATATTTATTTAACACAGTTGGCTGTGATTACAACACTTTAGAATTTAATTCCATTGTTTCATAACAGGTATCTTAACTTGATTTTTTGGTAATTAGTTCAAGTCTGTCTTACACTACTTACAAGCTTTAAGTACTTGCCCTTTATTTGACAGTATTTGACCTTGCTGCATTGCAGCAAGTTTCTTTCTTTCTTTAGAAGGAAGGAAGATCTTTATTTTCAGTTGCAACAGAGCTTCCACCCCTGCAAGGAGGTGAGGACCCAGAACAAAGATGTGTAACAGCTTTTAAAGGCTTTAGAAATTGCCCAACCCCTCTTCCAAAGACCACCCAAAAGCATCATACAAGCGTCACAGAAAGAGGTGGTCTATTACAGAAATCTGAGAGTCTGGCCGCTGTCTGTCAAAATACCCAATAATGCTTGCTGATTCCCCTTCCCTGGCCAGTCTGGGCCATTCAATTTAGAGTGGCAGCACAAGGCAGGAATCATGAGAACTACAGGAATACAGTCCTACTTGAAGGCAGCAGGAAGCTTAGCTAAAATGTTGCATGGATACAAGAAACTGAGCTGGTCTACTGTGAGATGGATATCCAAGAACATGTGGGGCAAATTTGGTATGATATTAATCCCTCCACATATGTGTTTTGCTACATGCTATAAATGTTCTGCTGTACTTTGGAAAGAGCTTTGGTTCAAAACAAATGATCTTACCTTTAAACACGAATTCTGTTCCGCCCATCACTCTGGATGAATGTACTCCCCGGCTGTAACGACCCTTGGCATAGATGGTGAAAGTGGGGTGCTTGCAGATTGGGTCAGAATAATGATAGTAATGACCTTCCCAGGTATTGTTGTTGTCATGGAAGATGAAGTGCCTGGTGAGAAAGAGCACTTCAGGACGCACTTCGCAGCGCTGGCTCGCCCATTCCCCATGTAATCCAATAGTCAAATCAGCCTTCGGAGGTAAAATTGGTGGGTGGTGTTCATCTGACCGATAGATGATCCTGCATGCTATACATGAATGGTCATGGTTCTGAAACAAAACCAACAGAAACCTTGTAAAACTGATAGAAACTTTGCAAGACACATAGTCAGTTGCTAGCAAATCAAATTTCCTTAAAGCTTCAGTACTCATTTAGAGTGCCTAAGAGATGGGTGGGCCGTCATACGCGTATTTTTCAAACTGGAAACTTTCAAAATCAAGGAAATGGGCAAGGTACAAATAAATAAAAATAATCATTTTGTAATATGAAATGGAAGGGGAAGCTCCCTCTCCCCCCACTTAATTGCACTGGGCATATTCAAACACTTGACCATATTTACATCACTTCGGGATGGTTTATGGGAAGCAATTTGTAAATAAATAAATAAATAAGTAATTTGGTGCATTCCACCCTATAGATAGTACTTCAGAGTAGGTGAAAGTGAAACACTTTTTCCCTTATGTGTCAACAGCAAGAGTTACCACCTTCCCTTGACTGATCATGGCCACAGAATTTAAAGTTCCCCCTTTTTGTTATATTGGGCTCTTTCATGCCATTTCATAAATTAACACATTTTTTTAGCTTCTGCTTTTATGCATGCTAACGTTTGTAGAATTCTAAAATTCGGATCCCGTTCGCATCCAGAGGTACCACTGTAGTGCTAAAAAGTCCCCAGTCTAGAAGCTCCTAGAGGCATGTTCTCTTACTGGTTCTATAGCATGTGGGAAAACAATAATGGCAGAATTTCTGTGTGTGCCACTTACACTGCATAAAAGTTTAACAGGCAGATTCTTTTACAGAACCAAAATTTGGCAAACAACCTTAGCCATTGTAATAGCCCTTGGGATGCAAGTGTGACCTTAGGCCACTGATGAGGAGTCTGTGATCCTCCAGAGGCTGTTGGGCTCCAACTTTCATCAGCCCCCACAACAGGTTCTGCATCCCTGACTTGTGCTGTAATATTTACTTCCAAGGTTTGCTAAGGCAACCAAGGCAGACTCTGGGGCTTCTGTGCTGTGCAAAATGGAAGTATTTTTCTTCTCGTTGCAGGTTCTACACAGTTGCAACCACATTTGATACATGGCCAGATTTGTAATGTATTTCCATACCTCTTTTCACCTTTTGCACTAATAATGCTTTTCAGTATAACCATATTCATTTATTCCAGTGAATGATTTAGTATCCTACAGCGTTCTTGGAAAAACAAACAGTATAATACGTCGTGCCATTTCTATTTGAACACACACTTGTTCTTTTGTGACCCAAGCCTTGCTGTTCAGTCCCAGGCAAGCAGCTGCCTATTTCAGTATACCTTTGATTTTTTTTTTTCTAGTCTTTAGAAGAGCTCTGGGTATTTTAACAGGAAGCAGTTGCCATGTGTTGTCTCCACCTCCCAGATACCAAATGTTAATTGCGAAATGAACAAAAGAGGGAAATGCAAGACTGAGTAGTTGAGAATGTGGATCATTATGCACAGTATCTGCATAATATTTATATTTTTTAGAAGAATAAATAACTTTCTTAAAAGGGAATAGAAGAATTTGAAGTACTGAAGTGTGCCTAAAACTGTATCTTAGCACAAAGCATTTAAGCGACACTATTGATTAAAATCTTGTACATTCCAGCCCCTCGTGGGGATCTCCACTGTGGCTCTGCAACAATGAAAACATTGAAGACTAAACAAACAAAAAAACAAACCAACGATTACAAGAAGCCCCTGTGTAACTCCTCCGGTCAGTTTTAGTTTTCTTGTTCTTTCCTGAGTTAATGCATGCTGCATCCTCTATCAAGCACTGTAATCCAGACTGCAGGTTAATCCTGGAAAATGCTGGTAGATGGGAAAGCTTCGTTTTATTGGAGGGAGTTAAGACCATTCTAGTTCCAATCACTCTATGGGAATGGGCTTGCCTCCAGAATATGTGGTTTAAGAAGGCTTATAGAGGGTTAGAAATACAGCATAACCAAACCAAGCAGTTGCTTGAGGTGGCAAGATTTGTGGAGTTTGGCTGAAGTACCACATGACCCAAGAGTTGTACCTCAGCATTCTCTGTAGCGGAATTTCAGATAAGTGGAGTTGTTAAGAGTAGCAAAAAATGATAGGCAAGCCATACATGGTAATGGTAAAGGGACCCCTGACCATTAGGTCCAGTCGTGACCGACTCTGGGGTTGCGGCGCTCATCTCGCTTTATTGGCCGAGGGAGCCGGCATACAGCTTCCGGGTCATGTGGCCAGCATGACTAAGCTGCTTCTGGTGAACTAGAGAAGCGCACGGAAATGCTGTTTACCTTCCCACCAGAGCGGTACCTATTTATCTACTTGCACTTTGACGTGCTTTCGAACTGCTAGGTTGGAAGGAGCAGGGACCAAGCAACAGGAGCTCACCCAGTCGTGGGGATTCGAACCGCCGACCTTCCGATCAGCAAGTCCTAGGCTCTGTGGTTTAACCCACAGCGCCACCATACATGGTAGCCATATATTAATAATGGTTCCTGTACTCAGAATGGACACGGTGCACATTTGTTTCGTGTTATATTGCATATGGATTTTCTACGGTAATTTCTGTGTATAAAAAAAAGTGAAACAGCCCTTACCTCCGGAATAAACACAGGAAATAAGACTACTGTATGAGACATGCATACTTCCACCAAGGAAAAATGACACCATTCCTCAAGAGGTATTTGTCCTAGATATAGTGCCCTTTTAAGTTTGTAGCCCAGTCAATATAGCTTGTGGCAGTAAGAGCCAGTGCCAGTGTGTTCCATACCCTGAGTTTTAAGGTGAATATAATTGGCTTGCTTCAGGCAAGGAGAGATGGAATCCCGGAATGCATGAGACAATTTGCCTTGCTATAAAGTCCTATTAAGCAAAATAGACATGCAATATATTTCCTTGGATGAAAGCCAACAAACTATCTTGAATGTCTTGGAATACTCTACATTACTTTCCAGTCACTGAACCTCATATTTATTAATCACTTTCATGTTCTCATCCCACAGATGCAAATAATAAAATTCTTCATGCTACACTCACTTCAGGTGACTGATCTTCTTTTCTTTGTGTTTAATCAACCCCAAAGCTCAAACATTCTTTTTCCTTGTATGCATTTCAATGAAATACCATGTTAACTCCCAGAATCTCCTGCCCAAATTCAATATAACTTAATATAAAAAATGTATGAGGTGTACAGATTTTAAAGTGACATATTAATCCCTAGGTGAAAACAAGCATTAAAAAACTGAATCTTAATGAGTGGAAATAGAGAACCGTTTGGGGAAAACGTCCCTCTCTCTTCCTTATATGTTGCACGTACCTTTGATGCCTCCTTTATCTGGAGCTGCAATGTGCTAAATGTATCCTTTCCCAAATGATAAAAGCAGTAAGATGAAACAATTGAGCTTTTCATAATGGGAGCAAAAGGAAAGCAAATGATTGTTCTTATCCTGGCCTTGAAGCTTTCCTTATCCTACTCCTTCCTCTTTTAGTGATGCCACAGAGAAAAATCAACCCACAAATGGTATGCAGAACGATTGCATTTTTGGGCGATATCTCACTTGGCGCCTGGGAACCAATACTTCTAGCTTTCATTTTAGCATGCTTTGGATGTATTATATAAACACCACACACATTTCTGTTCTCTTCCTTAACTTATCTGAGACCATTCTTTTTTCCCTGGTTAATGCATCGTAATTTTTTAATACGAACTTTGTAAGTTTAAAGTAAAAGTTATTTCAGGATTTCTCTTCCTGTTGCCTCTTTTTCTTTTCAGCCTGGCACAATTCAAACTAAAATGTCCAGATTCTCATCAGGTGTAAATAACCTTCAATCCAAAAACTTTAAAGGAACTGTGTTGATTTATACCAGATGTTTGTAGACCAAGAACTGTTTTAAAAGTTGAGAGTATTGGAAAGAGTTAAGAACAACCAGTTTTAGCCTATTAGACATGTCGACTAAGAGAACTGTTTCATTCAGCTGACTTTGGTTAGCCTTAAAAGATGTACTTAGCAGCAAGCCATTAAGCCCATAAAATTGTTGAGTTACAGGCACAGCCAACTAATGGCAGAGAAGGGCATGTTAGGTCAGGATTATTATACTCCGTATTTTAAAGGCTCTTGAATCGGTGTCTAGGTCTTCTGGGTAAGATTTCCCATGATGAGCCCAAGGGAAAACTCTTGAGGTGTTTGATTCCAAAATGGATCTGAAAATAACTTAAAACAAATGGAAAAGTCTGGGATTTTTTGCCCTCTGTTGCTGTGGAGCTTATGCCATGTAAAAATACTTTCATAGATATTTAGCACAATTTCCCACTAGTGTTCCACAACTCTGCTATCTCAGTCCCAAGAGAACACATTACTGAATGGCTAGCATCTCTCCCCCACAAAGTGATAAGTAGCAGGCTTTCCATGACCTCATAGATGAGGCTAACATGGATAAGGCAACTCACGGGGGGGGGGGGGGAGGACCTGAAAAATGCAATTATAACTCAAGCTTACAAATGGTCCACAGAGTTTATTAAGACTGCAAAATAATGACAAGGGAATGATACTGGAAAGTCAATTTTTTTTAAGCACTCAAGAGTTCAGGTATCTAGACTAGGAAGAAATCAACTACATCTCACTTTATGACCCTTTGGAACCATTCTGTACCAATAAATGTAAAATGCCGAAGCCGTCTGGCTTGTCTGCTTCCATACAATTTTAGAACTCTTTGAAGGCAAAACATAGCTCATTTTCCTTTGAATTTAAACATTAGCATTTTTGTGAAATATGAGAAATGAGGCAAACAGTGTCTTTCTCAGATGCATGCCTACATCTGTCACCTATTCTACCGAAGCAATACTAATTTGCAATGACAAATTATATTTTGGAAAAGAGTTTTGCAAATTCTTAGAAGATGCAAGGGATAGAATGTGAAGGAAAGGCCATCACCCCCCCCCCCACATTTTAATATCAAAGTGATTGACTGATAAGTTCTCTTCAGACAATGCTTATCCAAGCTGCTGAAGAGGCTGTAATTAGATGATGGGTATGTGGAACACAATACCAAAGAAAG